TTTTCCATACGATACAAACTTTTGCCTACATCTTGTGAACAACCTGCCCGGCTGTTTTGAACAAATGTGATTCAACTACAAACTACTTATAATTCTTCATAAACCCTGCCGTGTATATGTGTCCATTGGTCCTTTATAGGAGCATTAAAAATAAAACGTATAAAATGCAATTATTTATAGTCTACAGAAAGCGAGCAACGAGCGCTCCCTAAGCTGTCCTTCACTTCAGCTGCAGTGCGAATGGCTATAATGCGCAACACTGCAAATCCAATGTTGAGGCTCTGCCATCAGTTAAAAATGCAAAACTATATAATAACCTTGTTGTGGTTAGGCAATATGTCCTTAATTGTCGTGAAAATGTCATAGTGCATAAATATATCTTAATAGTCCTAAAGGCTTCATTTCCTTTATGTAAAATAAGTTTTAATCCTTACTACTTGTTGTCATGGTTGTTTTGTTTTCTATAGTTAAATGTGAGCTGGACACACACATTACCACATAACTTGAGATGTTTGCGTGAAATTTGAATCACATATCTTGATTTATGATTGTCTGTTTAACATGAACCCTCAAGTAAGAATATGATCCTAAACTTAAACTTTCTTACAAATACTGGACATCTTCTTTTTCTTCTTTCTTCCAGCTAACCATCTGAACCGAATTGGGATTTTGTACTTTCCTCTCCAAAAACCTCTTTAGAAAAATCTGTAACAACCTTGGAATTAACCCTTTAATGTTGCATTTCACAATTGAATAAATGTAAAAAAACAGACCGTAAAAAAACATAGCGTGATTGGTGCTGAAGTTCAGGATTTACCGATCACAAGGCATCATGGCATCATCTTTTTTCTCCCCGTAACACTGGGATCCTCCGATTCTATTTAACCTCCTGCTGTCCAGAGGAAAGCATCTTTTCACATCTTGGGAAGGAAACTATAATCTGATCTCATGCCCATGTCTCTCTGTTTGGATTCTGGGATAGGGACTGTAGCTTGACACCTTTTGAAATTTGGTGAACTAACCATAAAAGGGTCTTTGGGACAATATTTTTAGTTTGCAAACTATTTCTACTTAAACCCACTTCGATGCCGCCTTCTGATGGACTCTGGTTGCCTTATTCAATCCCTCAAAGTCTAAATGGAAAATGAATTGGGTTTGGGGCAAAGGATTGGGTCCTGAGAGTTTTTGAGGGGAGATTTTGAGGGCTTTTTTTTTTTTTTTTTTTGTGGAGCATGGAGAATTATTACAGTCTATGCATAATATTATCAGAATTGTCTTTATCATTATAATATGTTTTGGAGGCTCCAAGCCATAGGATATCATCATAATGGCGTCAGGAGACATGAAATGTCATAGAAACCATTGTTTCACATTTTTGTGTCTGTGTGTGTTCATTGGGTACATTGTTTCTGTAATATTCTTTTTTGTAATGTGTTGCCTTACATTTGATTCATAGATAAATGTTTCAAAAAGGAAAACATTAAGTTAACAAATGTAACTGCACTGTTTGAATTGTAATTTATTTGTAGAAGACTAAACAGCTGTAGCGTTCGGCTCACCTAGTGCCTTTTGGATAACAATTTTACTGCCATATCTGTTTCTCTCCAACAAAACTTTACTATTATGATACTTTGAAAACCAACATATCTATTACAGTGTGACTTTTCTTTTCTTTTTTTATCAAAACCTAAATGGTTTTCAAACAGAGCGGGCCATCTATTGCATGTCTTAATTGTCGTCAACCAAAGTTCAGAAGTTCTGCATGAAGCTCCATGATGAAGGCAACACGTCCTGCTATTTTCATAATCGATAACAGAACAGTTAACAACCCCACCTGAAAATAGATTTCATTCAGTGTACATATTCAATTGAAACGAGATGATGAATACCTCCTCAATAATCTGACATGGTTTTTACATGCGTGTTCGGTAAAATAAGCACTGGAACTATGATCTGTTTTGTCGTGGATGCATTGCATGATAAATTGCATTGGAGGCCGCACTGATGGATATGTGTCAATAAACATATCTTTATCCATCACCTAAGACTGTCTTCTGTGTGTGTTTTACCGGATTTAATAATGTTTGCTGTATCATTTGGTGCCTTCGCAACAGAAACTGACCTAAACCACTATTATCCATGAACATTTGCAAAATACAGTTTATAATGTCTAGAGCTGATGTCAGACTTGATCAATTTTCAAATATCAATGGCTGATCATCATGACATTTGAGATCGACTTTTAAGAAGTTTACAGATGTTGTGAAAATCCAGTGGTGCTGTAACTTGCAAACGCTCTCCTTTGTAACTCAGGAGCTGTAGAAACCTGAATGAATATTCAGTAGCACTTTACTTGAAGCCTTTATATGGGATGCATTAAGAAAGTATTTTTAATGCACTAATTATGCTTTCCAATGCACCCTAAAATGCACTATTTTATGGTATCATGAATAAGTATAATACTTAACTATTTATTTTCATGCTATAAGTATAATGAATTGGAAAACATGACAAACAACCAATTGTAGAATTGTAAAAATGATTTTTTTACCAGAAGTGAAACATCATTTTGTATCTCGTTTAACTTTTGTTTTTGTCGTTATTCATTTTCTGTTGTTTCTGATAAGATTGCTAAAAGTTAGTCATGTTTTTTTGTGCTAATGAACCTGTACGTTCTGAATCCAGTGTTAACAAAGACGCTAAGACAATCGGAGCACACACTTTATCTGAGGAAATGTCATCCAGACTTGGCCCTAGTACTGTAACAAGGAACTCTTTAGTCATTTAGTCGAAGTTGTTTGACTTATTTCTTTTCATTCGATAGAAGTGTTGCCATTATCTAAAAGTGCAACTGGACCGTGGGCAAAAAACAGAGCTCAACACAAAGGGATTTGACCAATCCATTACTCCATTACAAATTAAATAATGAAAGTTGAAGTCAGTAATGTAATTGTTAGATTACACATTTTAGCCAATATAATACTTTCTGATTACTTTTTTTAGATTACTTTAACCAAAGTAAAAAATGCTGTACCGTTATGATATAAAAATACAAACGGGAATAAAAAAATATATCCCATTCTATTTAACAACAGCAACATTAGTGCTTGAAATTTTGATTCTTTCAAGAGATTCGTTCATTTTCAGTTCGTTCACCAAAATGATTCATTCACTGATTCGTTCAGTGACCATATCTTCATATTACATAAATAGAGTGTCTTATGTGTTATGTTTTAAGTCAACGAACATATTCACTTGTTACTAAACTGATTTGGCTTTATTAAAATGTGTGCATAATCTATTCATTAAATAAATAGTCTAAATAAGTTGTTCAGATGACCAAAGCACAAGGTTTTCTTGCATAATTAACATTTTAATTGTTTGGTCAGACAATTACACATTCATAAATCGGGGATTAAACGTGGAGTTATGTTCTGTATGCTAATTATGAATATATAAACAAGCGTATAGAGTGCACAGTACCTATAACTGCGCTTTGCATCTGCTTTCTGCTGATTGCTGATCGATATTGACATGCTAAGTGGCCGACTGACCTGGTACACTCTCATTCATTTCATTCAAAAATAACGATTTGTTCACGAACGAAACATCACTACATTTCAGTGAACGAGAAATGAGTCAATGGATTATGAGAACGATTCGTTCACCTAAAAGATTCGTTCAAAAATAACGATTCATTCACGAACGTAACATCACTAAATTTCAGTGAACGAGAAATGAGTCAATGGATTACGAGAACGATTCGTTCACCTAAAAGATTCATTCAAAAATAACGATTTGTTCACGAACGAAACATCACTACATTTCAGTGAACGAGAAATGAGTCAATGGATTATGAGAACGATTCGTTCACCTAAAAGATTCGTTCAAAAATAACGATTCATTCACGAACGTAACATCACTAAATTTCAGTGAACGAGAAATGAGTCAATGGATTACGAGAATGATTAGTTTCACCTAAAAGATTCATTCAAAAATAACGATTTGTTCACGAACGAAACATCACTAAATTTCAGTGAATGAGAAATGAGTCAATGGATTACGAGAGCGATTCGTTCACCTAAAAGATTCGTTCAAAAATAACGATTTGTTCATGAACGTAACATCACTAAACAACAAAGTGCCTCAAACAGTCCATTTTTGCCAGTTGTGCGAGACATTTTAAATTATACCAGTAATGACTGTGAAAATCACTTGCTTTCATTCAGAACTTAAAATAAGAACACGTACTAACATGTGCACGTTCTCTCTTACTATACTTTTATTCTTAACATTTCAAACGTGTGCTCTTCACTCATAATACGCTGACTCAGGACTGTTGAATCAACCTTGAACTCGTTTGAGCTGAATAATGACAAGTCTTCTGTTGAGCTGCAAGTCAGCAAAAGTCACTTAATTTCTAGTTTATTTATCCCTTGAACCTGCTTTGAAACCTGAGTGGAAAATAGTGCTCTGTGGTAAATAAATTATTAATACCACAGTAGTTTTAAGGTAACATCACTAAACAACAAAGTGCCTCAAACAGTCCATTTTTGCCAGTTGTGCGAGACATTTTAAATTATACCAGTAATGACTGTGAAAATCACTTGCTTTCATTCAGAACTTAAAATAAGAACACGTACTAACATGTGCACGTTCTTTCTTACTATACTTTTATTCTTAACATTTCAAACGTGTGCTCTTCACTCATAATACGCTGACTCAGGACTGTTGAATCAACCTTGAACTCGTTTGAGCTGAATAATGACAAGTCTTCTGTTGAGCTGCAAGTCAGCAAAAGTCACTTAATTTCTAGTTTATTTATCCCTTGAACCTGCTTTGAAACCTGAGTGGAAAATAGTGCTCTGTGGTAAATAAATTATTAATACCACAGTAGTTTTAAGGCTACAAAAGACTACTTAAAAGCAATAAGTGTGACCTCTAGAGGGCGGGGCTTTCTAATGAGACGCGGCTTGTGATTGGTCCATCCTGATCCAGCGCTGAGAAAAGTAACACGTGTCACCTGTCATCGGCACCTTGAACAACAATTTCTAAATGAATACTGACACTGAAAAACGCGAATAGACATTAAACGGACGTTACGCAGTTAAGAGTTAAAACGGGAGAATTCATATTAAAACATTAAAACGTACTAATTAGAGATAACATCCGGGTCACCAAGCCAGCACAAACATGGCAGGCAAAGCAGGGAAGCAGAGTCGCCCCAGAAAGGCGGAGAAGGATGAAGAGCAGCAGCCGCTGCTGCAGGCCGTTCTCGTCGCAGACAGCTTCAACCGCAGGTTCTTCCCCATCAGCAAAGACCAGCCTCGGGTGAGAACTGCACAAAACACACAGCTTCACCTCGAGCACATGTGTGCCTCTGGACCCAAACACACGAGACACTGCGACACTGCGACACTGCACAAAACACAGCTTCAGAGCTCCATCATGTGTGCTGGACTGTTTGTTTGTTTGTCTGTATTTTAGCTGTACAACTTGTCATGTGCAAACATGGCAACAACAATACTGCAGGTTCGGTATATATATATATATATATAATTTTTTATGTATGCTAAAAAGTACTGCATTTTATTTAATTTTTTTTATAATTTATGGGCTGTAATATAAGAAAGAAAGTCATTGTGACAACCTGGGTTTCACTTTAAAGTATTTAGATTTGTGTATATGCAATTTTAGCTGAGTAAATAGAATAAAATAACACACTTTCTTCCATGTTTTAATTTTAAAGGTAAACTTTGTCTGCCAAAAAGTTGTGAGAATTGTTAAATTTTAATTGGATTTCATTTTAAAAGATGAATTAAATTGTTAATGTTTTTTCCCCCCTTTATTTGATTACTATTGATAATAAATTTGTATTAAATCATAAATCCAGAATAATTAAAACGAACAACACCAAATGTCTGGGAGGAAAAAAATAACATTTTATTTAATCTGAAAATGCACCAAAGCATGTGAAAATGCATCTGAGTAAGGAGAATGTTATCTATTATCGTTCATAACTTTCCCCTGCTTTTTGCTTAGTAATAGTACAGTGTCCTTAAAAATACCTTTGTGTACCATTTATATGCCGTGCTAGGTGAACATGGTAATCGAGTAACATGATATTGTTGGTGTCTAATGCTAGTATAAAAGTATGATACCAGTACTTTTAAAATAACTTGGTTATTGGTAACTATTAACTGCACTATATTGGAATGGCATTGCAACATTGATAATAAATTTGTATTAAATCATAAATCCAGAATAATTAAAACGAACAACACCAAATGTCTGGGAGGAAAAAAATAACATTTTATTTAATCTGAAAATGCATCTGAGTAAGGAGAATGTTATCTATTATCGTTCATAACTTTCCCCTGCTTTTTGCTTAGTAATAGTACAGTGTCCTTAAAAATATCTTTGTGTACCATTTATATGCCGTGCTAGGTGAACATGGTAATCGAGTAACATGATATTGTTGGTGTCTAATGCTAGTATAAAAGTATGGTACCAGTACTTTTAAAATAACTTGGTTATTGGTAACTATTAACTGCACTATATTGGAATGGCATTGCAATGTTTTGTTTGCCTGCAATATTAAAATGTACAGGAATTTTCACCAGATGACTTGAATAGCTTTATTTGAAAATGAGTAAGTGATTGTGATTTTGTGCATCTGCATGGGGGAAAAAATATTAAAATAATAATAAGCAAAATTACTTGTGCTACCAACATTTTCACTAGCCCTGACACAATATAATAAATGGATAAAATAGAATAAAAAGTTATGGTTGTCATTGTTTTGATTCATTTTGATGCCACAGCAAAAACTGCTAATTAATATAAAGTTAAGGCATTGCTAAATGAACAATCAGTAATAAAATAATAACAAATCACAAGCAATAGCACAAAAAATGCGTTTCAGCAAAGATAGAAATGAAATAAACTGTTTTCAATTTTTCAGGTAGATCTAACAGTAGAATTGAGGTACAGAAAGTGAATAATCAGATATAACACTGCATAGTTCTCACTGTACAAATTAAATGTAGAGTCATCTTTTTAAAAACTATTAAGTTATTCAGTCAAGAGCAGTAAGTGACTTTCTCTGTCTTTCGCTGTTTTGCTAACATTAATGACAGACATGCGAGTCACAAGCCCTGATGCACAGATCTAATGTGTTGATGGACTAGAAGTTGCTTGCCAAGATGAGTATTTTGACATAATTTGTGTTTATTTGTCCATTCAAGCACAAGAAGACACAAAAGAGAACTGTACAATGGTACTAGCATAGACTGTTTTTCTAAATGAAGAGTATTACTTGTTATCTTTTTAATTCAGCGTTCTAGACTATTTATAGAGTAACTTTTCACTCGTCCCCCCCCCAGGCTCTTCTACCTCTGGTACTTTTAAAATAACTTGGTTATTGGTAACTATTAACTGCACTATATTGGAATGGCATTGCAATGTTTTGTTTGCCTGCAATATTAAAATGTACAGGAATTTTCACCAGATGACTTGAATAGCTTTATTTGAAAATGAGTAAGTGATTGTGATTTTGTGCATCTGCATGGGGGAAAAAATATTAAAATAATAATAAGCAAAATTACTTGTGCTACCAACATTTTCACTAGCCCTGACACAATATAATAAATGGATAAAATAGAATAAAAAATTGTTTTGATTCATTTTGATGCCACAGCAAAAACTGCTAATTAATATAAAGTTAAGGCATTGCTAAATGAACAATCAGTAATAAAATAATAACAAATTACAAGCAATAGCACAAAAAATGCGTTTCAGCAAAGATAGAAATGAAATAAACTGTTTTCAATTTTTCAGGTAGATCTAACAGTAGAATTGAGGTACAGAAAGTGAATAATCAGATATAACACTGCATAGTTCTCACTGTACAAATTAAATGTAGAGTCATCTTTTTAAAAACTGTTAAGTTATTCAGTCAAGAGCAGTAAGTGACTTTCTCTGTCTTTCGCTGTTTTGCTAACATTAATGACAGACATGCGAGTCACAAGCCCTGATGCACAGATCTAATGTGTTGATGGACTAGAAGTTGCTTGCCAAGATGAGTATTTTGACATAATTTGTGTTTATTTGTCCATTCAAGCACAAGAAGACACAAAAGAGAACTGTACAATGGTACTAGCATAGACTGTTTTTCTAAATGAAGAGTATTACTTGTTATCTTTTTAATTCAGCGTTCTAGACTATTTATAGAGTAACTTTTCCCCCGCCCCCCCCCCCCAGGCTCTTCTACCTCTGGCTAATGTCTCCATGATTGACTACACATTAGAGTTCCTGACCTCTACTGGAGTGCAAGAGACGTTTGTCTTCTGCTGCTGGATGTCCAGCAAAATAAAGGAACACTTACAGTAAGATGCTGTGATGTTTTTAATGATGCTGTTGAATGGCTGTGACTCTGATGACTCAGTATTTGGCGTCTTATTTCACAGAAAGTCCAAATGGTGTCGCCCCACATCTCCAAATGTGGTGCACGTCATCACCTCTGACCTGTACCGCTCTCTCGGGGATGTGTTGAGGGACGTGGACGCCAAAGCTCTCGTCCGCTCGGACTTTCTGCTGGTGTATGGGGACGTGGTGTCCAACATCGATGTTTCCCAGGCTTTACAGGAACACAAGTGAGTGTCGCTCCCCCACAGACCCCCGTCTATAAAAGTTCCATAGTTTATCATTTATATATCATTAATACAATTTTGACTTTCCTGCACAGACAGCGACGCAAAATGGAGAAGAATATCTCAGTGATGACCATGATCTTCAAAGAGTCTCCGCCTGGTCACAAGACTCGCTGTGAAGACGATGACATTATAGTAGCTATGGACAGCAAGAGCAAGCGCATTCTTCATTACCAGAGAGCACAGGCCTTAAAGAGACTTCACTTCCCTATGGTGAGATATTTTACTAATATTTAGGGGTGCTGTGATCAATCGGGTACCGATCGCTATCGGTGATCTTTCAATTTGCCAATTTCATAAACCAATCGAGTACCGATGATACAAAAAGTGTCATCAAATGTACAGTAAATGTAGTTAATAAAAAAAAATCTCAGTATGACATGCATAGTTGTTATTAAGCCTGGGCGATAAAACGGTATCGGTATTTATCGGCGGTACACCTTTTTCGATAACGATAGAAAAATTTTCCGATATAGGCACGTGCTATGAGTGCCGCAGACAGCCCACGAACACATGCTGAATTGAGTGCTCTGCATGCCTGTGATGAGATTGTGAATTTAAAAAAAAATGAATATTAGTCGAATTTAAAATAAACGCATGCGTTTGAATGCAAAAATAGTAAAATCAAATGTTATGTGTGCATCAGGGAGCGTCATCAGTGGCGCACGAGACACGGTGATAATGATGTAAGTGACGTTGTTGCATTTTAATGTTTTGTTAGTCTAGCCCACGAGATGTGCTGCTGCTGCGTTATTCATTCAAAATATTAGAGAAGTATAGCAGCTCAATGCAGAGAAGATCTTGAATGGGTTAAAACCGAAACCAAGCCATTCACACAGAACGCATAGTCAGCGCATTTTAGACGGACAAATATGACTGCTGCACTCGCGTCTCACACAAGAGATCTAGCCATGAAGTTAAAAGCGTTTAAACTTTTAGAAAACGCATCGCGAATTTGTGAAGGTTTGTTCTTTTTCACTGCGTCTCTTATGTTTTAAAGGGCAATCTGCGTGAATGACGCTTCGGCTCTTTGGATTAAGCAATGCATAAAAACATGATGCTGTTTTGTTCATAATTGTTTATGCAATTTATGAAATTATATTTGATTTATATGATTTAATTTAAACGTAATGCATGTTTTTTTTATAGACAGTTATTTCCTTGCGTTGACAATTTAATGCGCTGCTCCTGTGGCCTATTTAATCTGCATATAAAACATTAGATATTTAAAATTTGTATTTTGTGTTTGACTGTTAAAACAAAGCATATTTGTTGTTTGTCTCAATAAATTGGGTTAATTAAAAAATACAGTGGTTAAATAAAAAAAAAAAATGTATATTGCTCTTTGTTTTAAAAAAAGGTTAATAAAAAATGTCAATAATTATTATACAAGCCCATCTGTCTTAATTTGGATTATTTTAGTGTGTGTATACATACAGTAGTCAACATCTGAAGTGGATCAAAAAAGTTCATCAAAGTTGTCCTAAGACAAGAACGCATTTTGGTTTTTAGGTTTTAGGACAACTTTGATGAAAGGTTTTGATCCTCTTGCACACTACTGTTCAAAAGTCTGTCATTTATACGGGGCTTTTGTGTTTTTGAAAGACGCCTCTTCTGCTCACCAAGGCTGCATTTATTTGTATTATCAAAAATACAGTAAAAAATGTAATCTAGTAAAATAGTTTTTCTATTTAAAATAACTATTTTACAATATTTTAAAATGCTGTTATTTTTTCTATGATTAAAGCTGAATATTCAGCACCATTACAGTCTTCAGTGTCACATGATCCTTCAGAAATCATTCTAATATGCTGATTTGGTTCTCAAGAAACATTTCTATTATTATTCATGTTAAAAAGAATTGATCAATGCACACTTACTAACATTGTGGTCGAATCTCTTGAAGTTTCCTGTTTGCATAGAGAACTAGTAGCATTACTCCTCTTTTACTGTTGATCTTGTAATACCCATTCTTACTAATGATAATTAATGATCAAATGAAGGTTATTAATCAAATAAAGGTTATTGCAGTCATGAAAATCAGACAGCACAACAAATAAGACCATAATGTCCCAGATAGCTCAACAAAGCAAATAGAAATCATTGCATTTAGTGATTATAATTATTCCTTCTTTTCCCCACACAGAATATTTTCCATAGTGGAAGTGATGAGTTTGAAATTAGGTTTGATCTTTTGGATTGTCACATTAGCATCTGTTCTCCACAGGTGAGCATTCGTTTGCTTTACAGTTGTGCATGTTTGTTTAAATTATAAACACATTGCTCAATAAAAGTGAATGTTGTTTAATGTAGGTTGCTGAGCTTTTCACAGACAACTTTGACTACCAGACAAGAAATGACTTTGTCCGTGGGCTTCTAGTCAATGAAGAGGTATGAAACACAGAATCGAGTGACTTGTTTATTTACAAACCCGATTCCAAAAAAGTTGGGACACTGTACAAATTGTGAATAAAAACAGAATGCAATGATGTGGAAGTTTCAAATTTCAATATTTTATTCAGAATTAAATATACAATATATTTTAAAATGTTTATATTAAATATAGGAAAGCTAAGTAAACTTAAAGATGTCCAGATTTATTTAAATGATTATTTGGTCCCTAAATGGTTGATGATCAAAATAGAGGCTTAATGAGACACAAGTTTATTTTACATTAAATATTCTTCACTGTGTGTCCAAATTGCTGGCTAGTTTCCTTGTTGTCTAAAGAAATGTTGATATGCAGGTTGTGGTGGGTCCAGATATTACTCTTCAGGAAGGCACAGTTCTGTCCATGCACCATCCAGATGAAGAGGATGATGAAGATGAGGATGAGTTCTTGAGCGATGACGATGTTGGCCACAGTAAAGACAAAACCAAACAGAAAGGTTCATGCTCATTTTATTTTCTTATGTGGATGTAGCAAAGTACACATTCTGTACAATGCTGTGTGATTGTGCCGTTCACACTGACATTGATTTAAATGCTGATGGTCACTGATTTGATCTTAATTTGTGGGTTGAAAATCTGATGGGATTATATTTGGAAACACTATGTAAATGTGTCCTTGTCACATGATACATGTATTAAATAAAGTAGTAGCAGTAAAGTATGGGTAATTATATGCAAGTAATACTAAATCTATAGTAAGTACATGTAACTTAACATTACTCAGTACGTACTTGTGTAACAAGCATGCATTAAAATAAATTGATTTTATATTCCTGATAGAAAAAAGATGACGATGAACATTACTTCCTCTAAAAACTGAACATTTTGGATGTCATTCACATGCATGGGCAAAGTGTCATTTTAGGGTTTTTTTTTATCGTTTTGTCAGTGTTTAACCCAGCAGAGGTTGGTTCAGAGGGTAAAGGATACAGATGGAAGACCAGCAGTCTTGATGACACAGAGGAAGATGAGCTTGCTGAATGCATTTGGGGTGAGATGTCTTCTCATTTATTCACCCTGGTTCCAAACTTGGAGCACTTTTTTTCTTCACAAAGGATTTTAAAGAGTTGCTATACTGTTCTGGTCTATAAATTTGTTCACAACTCGCAACCAATTGACTTAAACTGACTCTTATATTATAAATGCAGCAAACAAAGCGACGTAAAGTTCCTCACACAAAGCTATTTAGTGACTTCAGAAGTCTTTGGAAAGTGTCAGAAGACATAATGAATTGAACCCTCCTGTTGTAGTTTTGACCCAGAATGCTGCATAAAAATGTAAAAAAATAAAATAAATCCATGGTTTTTAGTACGGGAAAAAACTTTGCATAAGAATTAAGACTATCAAAAAAATACACATCATTTGTTTATTTATTTAGATTTTTAAAAATAAGTTTTTAGGAGATATAACCATTTAAATTGTTACACCTTTTGCATTCAGGTCAGTTTTGACCTGGACGTGAACTGTGGCTTTACATGTGAAGTTTGCAGATTTTGTTGTTGTTGTTGTTTAACATCTATCAGTTAAATTGGTCTCATTTTACTTATGTAAAATACATTTATACACATACAATTGTATGATCTTGTACATTTGACTGTGCATGCACAAAGACACTATAAACAGACAAAAGATGTAATATGTAACAAATAAACCATATCTAATGAACTACAGCCCAAAGGGGTCCACATTTCATTCTGCTTGCACCTATTGATGAAACATTGCTGGTTCAGGCTGAAAGTGATAGTTTATGCAAGTAAAATGAATTTATTTATTATTTTGATGTTTTGTTAGAAAAAGAATATGAAGTATTCACAAAGTTCTGAGTTAGTACAGATAATTATCAGTTTATATGTTCTTAAAAATTTCATAAGTCATTGAAATAAAGTTTCATGAATACTGAAAAAAAAAAATCTCCGTAATTAGCGGGTGAAGAAGTGGATTTACATATTTTAAAGTTAACGAAAGTTATCATGAGCAATGTAATGTTCGAGGCGGATGTCATAAATGTCAGTAGACCAGGAAGATTTTAAAACGAGCAGTTCATTCATAAATTCATGAAATACAAAAGGAAAACGGAAGACAACGAGCGCAGCGCTGAAAAGGGGCGGGGCTATATAAGGTCTATAAGCTCAAGTTTCACCGGATCAAAACTGACCCGGGAATGGGACAGGTGTATACAGGTTTTTTAAATGAGATGAAGTTAAATACACCGGCCTTGATGATGATATCATGTTTCCAGGCCTAGCGTTAAATCCCGACCCAGAGAGTGACAGTGAAAGTGAGGTCAGTGAGGGATCACATGACCTGGGAAGCCACCCTGCATCACCTGAACTGGATGATGTCAAAGGTGAGAAGTGTTATCAGAGCTCTATTCATCCTTTCTAACATCACTCAGATCTCCCAGTTTCATACTAGCTGTTCTTTCCCCTCAGTGTTTCAGAATGAGGTTCATGGTACGTTACAGAGAGGGCTGGATGAGAACATAAGCTGTGACAATCTGGTGCTTGAGATCAACTCACTCAAGTGAGTACATACACAGTTCCAGTTCTGTCATGACAACTCTCTGAGGGTTTAGCATGGTAATGTATGTGGCAGTGTTAATGTGTTTGGTCTTGGCGGAATAGATCTGCTACACTGCTGCTGCTGCTGCAGAGCAAGCACCGAGACTTGCTTCTGCCAGTACATCCACAACATGCTGCTGTGAGCATGTAAGAAATACTGCTGCCGCACATATAACATACATTAAATAACCCCATATATAACATACATGAAATCACTCCATAGCAGATCTATACAGGTGGAGCTGGGGAAGGTGGAGGGTTTTTGAAGTGTGCTGCAACTGCTACAGCAAACACTAGCCGAGTATTTGAATGTTGTTCAGCGAGCTCATTGGCTGCTGATACAAAAAGAACCAATCAGCTACACCATGTGATGCTGTCATTATGTCAGATTGAGTTAGAACCTATCGGACTGCGCCATCTAGAGTTTCACGATAGACCTTTGGATTAATTTAAACATTCCAGTTAATAAAATGGTTCGCCTGAAAATTAAGAGATTACTTGCCTCTTGTTGCAAATCCATATGCTGCTTTTTCTCTGACACATAACATGAGATGCTTTGCTAAATGTTCACAGAGCTCTTGTCCAATAACGGTTCATAGTGACCTCAGCTGTCAAGCTACGAAAAATAAACGGTATAAAAGTCATATATGTGACCTGTGCTGGTAAAATGAGTGTGAATGCGCACAGGCTCATTTTGAGCTACATGCAAAAAAAACGTAAAAAAATGTCAATTTTAGTCAAATTTGAGGTTTTAACAAAAATGAGTTGATTAAGCCCTCGTCTAGCGATCCCAATGCTCCATATAGTAATTAAACATCTAAAATGATCTTTATTTGTGTGTTTGCTGAGGGGAGTACCTTTTCTCCGCTCGCTTCTCGCGCTGACTCATCCGAAGCGCACGCATAAAAGACACTTTCACCAGTGTGCGATCCTGATACATGTACACACATACACATTATTTAAGTATTCACACAAAAATAATCTGTTATGTCTTAAGTGAACGTTTGGGGAACTGTTGGGGAAAAACATCTGATGTGTAACATTATATTAGATTCGTGCATTACAGTAAGTCTTAATATATAGGCCGTCTGTCTCTGTGTTGATCAAACAATAAAAGAAAAGAGGGAATCACTCGTTGTTCTTGATTGAACTGCTTTTGTAGTTTTAATAATCGGTTTATTTGTAATGAACACACTAAAGGGATTTTTACATTCGATTCTGTTTTTCTTACTTGAATGCATATGTTTAGATGTAAAATGAAAAAGTTAATGCATTATTTGTTTCTTATTTGTTCTGCTGCTGTTTTCATATGTTCTTATTTATAATAGCAAAGATTTGTATTCGGAGGTAAAGATGCAATGTTGCTTGGTGATTTTGCTCTGGAACCTTCAGAAAACTTCAACTCAATTTTTCTCAGAATTGAGTTTGCTGACTCTGTCGACTTCTAACGGGTGTGAGCTCGGTCATTTTTCGTCCTATTCCATCAAATCATGAATCATTTTGAGGGTTTTTAATGGAGAATGTGACATTAAAGGGTTACTCCACCCCAAAATGAAAATTTTGTCATTAATCACTTACCCCCATGTCGTTCCAAACCCGTAAAAGCTTTGTTCGTCTTCGGAACACAAGTTAAGATATTTTGGATGAAAATCGGGAGGCTTGTCACTGTCCCATTGACTGCCAAGTAACTTACACTGTCAAGAAAAGTATGAAAGACATCGTCAGAATAGTCCATCTGCCATCAGTGGTTCAACCGTAGCGTTATGAAGCGACGAGAATACTTTTGTACACGAAGAAAACAAAAATAACGACTTTATTCAACAAGTTGTCTCCTCTACGTCAATGTAGCGCCATTTTGGAGAGTATCCGCTGGACGCAAATAGCGTATGTTGTTCTGTGTCAGCCGCGCCACAAGCATACGCTGTTTCCGTTCAAATCAAAGCGTAGAAAACATATCCTCTGGTGCTTTTGCTACGTGTCAGTGTGCTGATTTGATTCTGAAAAATTAAGAATGAGATTTGAGAGTTTGAAGACTAAGTAAATGGAGGCTTTGTTCTATCTGTTCATCACACAAAATGTTTATGGCTACACAAAAGTCATACTACTTGTATGATGAGGTAAATGTAATTGTCTCTTCTCAGGTACGCCTACAACATTTCTCTGAAGGAGGTTATGCAGATCTTGATTCGAGTTGTGCTCGAGTTTCCTTTCCACCAGCAGGGGGCTCAGAAAAGCACAGCTCAGTATTCATCGCACCTGCTGCCTGTGAGTGTGACTGCTTGACATGTCCAGGGTTAAAGCAAAACATCTCCCAACTTTTTTCAGGATTGTATTTTATGAACATAAAATAAGGTATATTGAAGAATGCTGATATCCAAACAGTTGCTGGTCCCTTCGTGGCGTATGTGCGGTTGAACGAGACGATTTAGCGATCCATCTGAAGTTGACCAATCAGAAGATGACAAAAACCATATAGTCTATAATAATTTTTGTTTAACTATACAGTTCTATTTTTATTTGTTATTCCGAATGTGCCAAATTTGCCGTTCAGCTTTATGAATGAATATGCCTGTTGTATTTCCGACAAAACGAGCAGAAATTCAGAAATGGCTTACTCCCTCGAGTTCTTTATGAAGAACAGAAAGTCCATGCTTTTCTCTGCTTTTCAGCCATTCTCTTTGTCATGTCCTTGGTCTTCGTTTTTTTTGGGCGTCACAAGGCGCCTGCCACAAAAACTATTTCGTCCTCAGAATCCGTATTTTTATGAATGGCGCGAAACGTAATGTTACGTCAGAGTTTGTACATTTGTGTCGTGTGTGACTGCCTCTATACAATTTTCGGATAAACTCAATCGTTACATGTGCCAGAGCTCACGACGTTCCGACCTTCAGAATCGCACCGTGTACGCCCACCTTAACACAATCACTTGGAGGAGGAAGGCATCATGAGCTGGTTCAGACAGAGCTCCACCACAGACAAGAGCCAACAGCTCCGCAGGAATCAAGGGGTGCGATTCTTGAAACTTTTACACTAGATTTTTAATTCTGATCATTGCTGTCAAATTACAAGCTGTCTTTACGGGGCTGTTAGTGATGTGTGTTGATGAAAGAACAGAACATGTGAAAGCAGCGGGACTCGTCAAAATCACACAACGCCAGAGGAGTTACCAGAACAAGTTTTCTGGGAATGGACTGAAATCTGGGTGAAAGAGGACTATGTTAACTATGTGGTTATGTCTCGTCTTTCTACAGCTCTTGAAGTTCATCCAATGGCTAGAGGAGGCTGAGGAGTCTTCAGAAGGAGACGAATGAACATAAACCATCATGTTTGTGACTCGCACACTTTGGACGGTCATTTATACACTTTACAAACCAGAAACAAAACACAACTTGGTGTGTTTGTGGAATGTTTAATTCCTGACAAATGGCAACCTATATAAGGTGTGGAAATGGATATTTATTCGGGTTTTTTTCTTTGTTGATTTCTGTATGGTTGTAATGCTTCAATTGTTCAAACCAAAAATGAAAATTGACTTAAAGGGTGCTGTATTTCAATTGAAATCACTTGGGTTGCCAGATTGAGAACTATAGGAACGAGCGCAATTGACAATAGATGGTGATGAGCCTTACACTGTAGATGTTGATTTGTTTTTTAATATTTCCCTGGTCATAGAGCTTATTAAATGGATGCAGAGGCTTTTTATGTTGGATAGAATCTGCAATCTCGGAGTCAGTTTGTTTGCAGGCTTTCATGGCTACAACTGGCAACCCTAGGTGTCAGATACTATTGGTTAAACTGGCAGTGGGCGGAGTCACACAGACCAAAACAAAAACAGACATTCCGGCATGGAACGCACATTTTGAAGTAGAATAGCTGCCTGTAGCATTGTTTTCAGAGAACTTAACATGTTTCCTAAATATCTACAAATGTATTTTATGCTTTAGTATTCAAAAGAATTACATACAGCACCTTTAATTTACCGTCATGTTCCAAATATGCATTTCTCCTACGGAACACAAAAATGATATTCTGAAGGACAAACATTGAATTTTATGGATAAGGAAAATACGTTTCAAAATAACATTCTATGAATATAAAATAACATGTCCATACTTATACAAGTAGGGAAAGACCTATTGCGACCCTTTAAACCTTTGTCTGTCACTAGTCTTAAACATCTTAGTTTATGACATACAGACCCTTTTGATGATAAATGATTTTATATAGGTTACTTGGTCATGAATGTCTGGAATATTCAATTTGAGATACCATTTTAGTTTTATTTTGTGAACCGTGATGACAAAGTCCACAACAGAATTAAAGTGATTGAAGTCGACATGAACACCCAAGAGTTATGAATGACTTTTAATATTGGTAAATCAGTCAAGCAGAACGGAGCTGATATTATTTTGGATTCATAAAAAATGAAACGCAGATATAAAGACAGTTCCCTTAAAGTGTACAAGGCTTGAAAAATATTTTCATTGGCAAAACTCTAAAATAAAATTATACATAGCTGTTTTCATGCCCATGATTTTGAATGTGTCATAAGTTAATAACCTTATTCAAAAACTATCACACCTCAGTCAGCTAGTTCTTTTTATCTTGATTAGCAGCACCATGGATGAAACCAGCTACGAGCGCAAACCCCGTTATTCCGAACAGCGCCGTCAAGCCTTTCCACATGTTAGCGCTGTTCTCGCGCCGCTGTATGAAGCTCTTGTAATCACCGGGGATCAGGACGTAGCTGCGGCCGTCTTTGGGCGGCTGTAGCCTCATGATCTTGTCCTGCTCCAGAACCAGCTCCCCGAATGCGGTGAGGGCCGATCCCACATGCAGCAGCTCCTCTCGCTCCTCTAGGGCCACAGGCTTCTCCCCGCTCAGCTCTCCCACGACTGCGTCCATCAGCCCCTCTTTGGCCTGTCTGAGCCGCTTGTGCACCTGCTCCAGGTAATCGCCGCTCGCCTCCAGAGGAGAATCCACACGCACCGAGACCTCGCTGATGTATGCGCCGGGCTGGACCAAGCTGAAGGGCACGGTGTTGGTGGTCTGCTGCTTGTTCACTTTTTTGGAGACCCTGTGTGGATGTTTTTTTCATGCTTTATAATAACTGGTTTTCACTACCAGTCAAAAAAGTTTTTTTTGAACTGTAAGTTTCTCTTCTGCTCACCAAGCCTGCATTCATTTGATCCAAAATACAGCGCAAAAACAGTAACATTTTTACTATTTAAAAGAACTTTTCTATTTGAGTATATTTTCAAATGTCATTTATTCAAAGCTGTTTTTTTTAGCATCATTACTCCAGTCACACGATCCTTCAGAAATCATTCTAATATGCTGATCTGCTCAAACTACATTTATTATCATTATTATGTTGAAAATAGCTGAGTAGAATTTTTCAGGTTTCTTTGATAAATAGAGAGTTCAGAAGAACAGCATTTATCTGAAATGGAAATCTTTTGTAACATTATAAATGTCTTTATCATCACTTTTGATCAATTTAAAGCATCCTTGCTAAATAAAAGTATTCATTTCTATAAACCCCCCCCCCCAAAAAACATTGTACTGACTCAAAGCTTTTGAATGTTATAGAGCATAATGTTACAAAAGCTTTTTATTTCAGATAAATGCTGATCTTTGCTGTATTTTGGATCAAATAAATGCAGGGTTGGTGAGCAGAAACTGTTCAAAAACTTTTGACTGGTAGTGTACCTCTAGTGCTGGATGCTGATTGGTCAATACTAGCTAAAATGAGTATAAAGCGCAACAGTCAGGTTCTCTAAAGGAAAATAGATTTTTAACAATGACTGATCAAATTTTAAAGACAGACCTGATGTGAACTCTGCTGTTAATCAATGCTTTGTTGAAACCATCTGTTGCTTATTTTTAAAATAATCGTGTTTAATAGCCGAATTAGGGGTGAAAAACTACATTACCCATGATGCTGCACAGAAAATTCCACCAATCAGAATTGCAACGAGTTACAAGCACCAAATGACATCTTTAGCTCCGCCCACTCACATGAAGCACAGCGAATGATGTACTCAAGTTGGTAAATACCAGTATATAGTTTCTCAAATGTGACCCTGGAGCACAAAACCAGTCATAGGTCAATTTCTTGAAATTGAGATTTATGCATCGTCTGAAAGCTGAATAAATAAGCTTTCCATTGATGTATGGTTTGTTAGGATAATCTTTGGCTATAACAATTTGAAAATCTGGAATCTGAGGGTGCAAAAAAAAAATAAAATCTAAATATTGAGAAAATCATCTTTAAAGTTGTCCAAATTAAGTTCTTAGCAATGCATATTACTAATCAAAAATTAAGTTGATATATTTACGGTAGGAAATTTACAAAATATCTTAAAGGAACATAATCCTTACTTAATATCCTAATGATTTTTGGCATTAAAAAAAAAAGTCGATAATTGTGACCCATACAATGTATTTTTGGCTATTGCCAGCGACTTAAGACTGCTTTTGTGACCCAGGGTTAGAAATATATAGTTTCTATAGATACAATCAACAACTTTATATGGATAGTTTTGTATTTCTCCATTTTTAATTTGACTGTCATTCACAATGGTTCATGGGATTGTAGTTCTTTCCCTCACTAAAGCTGTTTTTAAGTCTTGTACCGCTGTCTTTTTGCTTCAAATCAATGTTGGTAGTGCTGTGATTCACCTTGTAGTTTGGTTCATGGATTATTACGCTTTAACAAAAGACTTTTAAAGTCCCTATGAGAAAAATAAATAGGCAATCCTTCTGGAATCAACAGCGCTGAAGAAGCAGGCATGCACTCTTGAGACGACAAACTATATGCCAGGAACTATACCTTCTAGAGAAGAGGTGCCCAAACATTTTACTATGACAGGCTAGAAATCTAACTTAATTGAAGGCTGAGGGCCAAAAGTAAATGCTGCATTATTTCCAATTATATCATAACATGCATATTTTTTTTAAAAATCATTAAAAAAAATAATAATTAGGAAGGAAGATGTGCTTCACTGACATGTTTTTACAATCCTATTGTCTAAACAAGCATCATTATTTGTGGTGAAGCATGTTTTTACCATGTTTTCAGAGCAGAGTTCCAGTATTTCCAGTGCTCGTGCACCGTAATCTTTTGGATGACACCATGACGGCGTGGTACGAACTGGCTGGAAATGGGCTCTCCGATGGCCTGCACCAATCCTGCAATGGAGGGACAATAAAGATGCATCAATTACGACTTTTCAGAGTGCGAGGTGTTATTGAGCATTGTATTTACCTTCTACAGCAACATAATGAAGTCTCTTGTTGGACGACGCATTGAGAATCCTGAGCAGGTGATGGTCTGCTTGAAAGTTTGGAATCTCCTGGAAAGTGGAGGAAAGGTCAAATTCACAGCAGCTCTTTGGATGTGCACACTTTTATAAACCTGCTCTGATTTGGCATCGAGCTGAGTCCCTTTCATCCAAACTTTCATACGAGTCATTCTATATTTCAGCGTACATGTCACACCAGGAAAAACATGTAAAAACGCTTTGCTTTCTCAGCAAATCATCTGTTGGTTTCAGTTGATATATTTTATCTGCTAGTTGCCCAGCCTTAATCATTAAACAACATTTTGATATCACAACGAAAATGATATTTTTCCTGCTGGTGAGTTTGTCAACTCTGTGGGTTTAACGTAGTTAACAATTTCACCATTTTGACTCAATGGCAGGCTTTGTCTGGCCAACCAAATGTTATTTTCTTGATCAGGTTAACCTCAAATCGTAATATTTATTTAAACTCATGAAAATATTGCAAACCGTAACAATGAACCCAACATAGTTGATGGGCAATTATTATACTCCTTAACAAGAGGTCACCAGAGATCCAATACAGAAAAATGGAGAGGAAGTTTACCATAACGTGTGGAGAATGAAATCACATGATGCTGGTCACATGGGTTTGTTAGTTTTCAGGGGATGTTTCGTTAGGGGACCATTTAAACTCATCTTGACGTTTTACTTTTTTGAATTCAAGACTCAAAGTGGATATTGCAAAAACTCATTTAGTGACAAAGACAACTGAAAACTATTCTCTTGGATAAAATATGTGACTCTGGAGCACAAAACCAGTCTTATTAAGTCGCTTAACTTAATTGAAGGCTGAGGGCCAAAAGTAAATGCTGCATTATTTCCAATTATATCATAACATGCATATTTTTAAAAAATCATTTAAAAAAATAATAATTAGGAAGGAAGATATGCTTCACTGACATGTTTTTACAATCCTATTGTCTAAACAAGCATCATTATTTGTGGTGAAGCATGTTTTTACCATGTTTTCAGAGCAGAGTTCCAGTATTTCCAGTGCTCGTGCACCGTAATCTTTTGGATGACACCATGACGGCGTGGTACGAACTGGCTGGAAATGGGCTCTCCGATGGCCTGCACCAATCCTGCAATGGAGGGACAATAAAGATGCATCAATTACGACTTTTCAGAGTGCGAGGTGTTATTGAGCATTGTATTTACCTTCTACAGCAACATAATGAAGTCTCTTGTTGGACGACGCATTGAGAATCCTGAGCAGGTGATGATCTGCTTGAAAGTTTGGAATCTCCTGGAAAGTGGAGGAAAGGTCAAATTCACAGCAGCTCTTTGGATGTGCACACTTTTATAAACCTGCTCTGATTTGGCATCGAGCTGAGTCCCTTTCATCCAAACTTTCATACGAGTCATTCTATATTTCAGCGTACATGTCACACCAGGAAAAACATGTAAAAACGCTTTGCTTTCTCAGCAAATCATCTGTTGGTTTCAGTTGATATATTTTATCTGCTAGTTGCCCAGCCTTAATCATTAAACAACATTTTGATATCACAACGAAAATGATATTTTTCCTGCTGGTGAGTTTGTCAACTCTGTGGGTTTAACGTAGTTAACAATTTCACCATTTTGACTCAATGGCAGGCTTTGTCTGGCCAACCAAATGTTATTTTCTTGATCAGGTTAACCTCAAATCGTAATATTTATTTAAACTCATGAAAATATTGCAAACCGTAACAATGAACCCAACATAGTTGATGGGCAATTATTATACTCCTTAACAAGAGGTCACCAGAGATCCAATACAGAAAAATGGAGAGGAAGTTTACCATAACGTGTGGAGAATGAAATCACATGATGCTGGTCACATGGGTTTGTTAGTTTTCAGGGGATGTTTCGTTAGGGGACCATTTAAACTCATCTTGACGTTTTACTTTTTTGAATTCAAGACTCAAAGTGGATATTGCAAAAACTCATTTAGTGACAAAGACAACTGAAAACTATTCTCTTGGATAAAATATGTGACTCTGGAGCACAAAACCAGTCTTATTAAGTCGCTGGGGGAGTGGGTTCAGGAGATGGTCACTCATTTCTGCTTTGGAGGAAGAGAGAAACATGTAAAGCTTGTCTGAAATGTTTAGTTGTAAGACACAGTCAACCCTTCCTAAGTTACCAGTCTCAGCACAATCAGTAGCACTGGGGCTGGCAGGTGGGTTTATCACATGGTCATGCAATTAAGTGCAAAGCTTGTTAATAGTGGTTTACAAATGTTGAGCAGACAAGGAAAGAACTGCACATCTTCCGTTTCGTTTACTAGAAGCTAGTTTGGTTTCACTTCGCGTTTGAATGTTCCTGAACAGATACAGCAACGTTACAGCCATAGCATGCATCTACAACAAAACATCTCAATCACAAAGCATCCTCAAACTAAGCACATAGCGACTTAAAGGCAAAAACAGCAGTTGAAGGCGAAAGTAAAACCTGTCAGAGCAGTTCAGGGCGCGATGAATCAGGAAACCACGGCTTTATATTACTACGACCACTAGTTTGATTATCGACATCTATATTATATATTATATTCACAGCAGCTTTTACAATATGCTCAGTTGAACGCTTCTCACCATTAGGATCCTCGTTCTCACCTGAAGTTTATTATTGTACACACTTGAGCTGCAGTGTGCATGTGTGTCCGCAGGAGGTCTCTGAGAAAGAAGACACACTGCACTGAGGTAACTTCACTAGGAAGTGAGCATCCCTATGCCCTATAGGCGGGGTTTCCTAGGCGCAAGCCCCGCCCCCGCTCGGATTTCATTGGTCAGTTCAAACAGTCAATCACCAAAAGTTCCTACGTCATCGATCCGTCACGCTATTTTTGAATTAATGTTATTTTGTAAAGCAAATTCATTAAGTATTTAATAGATAAAACTTTAAATTTTATGTTTTTACTTTAAAACTATTTTTTTAGTGTATACAGTTTATTTGAAGCGCACCGCTGAAAGGGGTCACATGCCAAACAACACTTAAAAGAGTAACGTCCTGAACACAAATGTACAGATAATGTTGTCATCCAAGATGTCCATGTCTTTCTTTCTTCAGTCGTAAAGAAGGGACAGTGTGAAAGTAATTGATTTTTGTCGGCGCACTGGCACTTAAATAGTAACATACCACATTCATAAATAAATTCTGTGATGTAACTTGGTACTTCGAGTTATTTCATAGGCAAATTTAATTTGAATAAAACGGAGCTCTTCTGGGCACAAACTTCAGGGGCTAATAGTAACTTTTTTTGCTTCAACATATCACTTTATCGTTTAAAAACCGCATATGTGTTTACTCGGATTGCTTTTGTTAAATGGTATATTTTGTTTAAATTTTCTTAAACAATTTAGTATGAGAAATACACAAAAACAGAACGCATGGGGGGCAAACACTTTTTCACAGCACTGTATTTCTTCATAAATTGGAGTCAGATAAATGTCTAATTGGAATTAACTTATATTGTAATAACTTAAAGAGACAGAAGACAAAGATGTAAAAAGGTACCAAGGCAATATTTTAAACATTATTGAATTTGCGCCAGCAATATTAACAATAAACAAGAGATTCCTGTAAGTACAGCTGATGGGGTGATGAAGGATGTGTTGTCGGTGTTTTAATGGTGCACATTTGACCATTTTAAGCACAAATCACTGGTCAAGAAAATAGCAGGAATTGCACAAATACTGTAGATAAAGCTGTGTAGGTAAACTTGCAGACAGCGTGGAGTAGTCAGTGTTGTTTCACTCAATATTGATGGCTTCAAACAATTCATAAGGAGTTGAAAAATGTCTCCTAGTTAGTTGGAGTTTATTGTGAGACCAAATAAACTATACACTATAGGGCTCAAATCTGGACTCTGTGCAGGCCAAACATGAGCCTGATGGACTTCTTCGTTTTCAAGCCACTTCTTGGTTATCTTTGCAGTTTGGTCAGGAGCATTCTCTTGTCGAAAAATAACATCCGATCGTTCCTCTTCAGAAAACAACTTTTCAGTTGTTGGAAGCAAACCATTGTGCAGTATTCACTCCAAAGCACTGAGTTTTCCCAGTGAAGCAGCGGCTGTAAGGCTCTCCATGCTGCGCTGTGGTAGAGATGCATTCATTATTGTATTTTTCACCAGTTCTTTAAAGAGCATCACCATGCAACACGTTTTATCATGATTCACTTTACACAACTCGGAATCAAACTTTCCATATTCTGCCAAAAACTTCATTCCGACATTGTTTTTCTGAGATGCAATGATTTAAGGAGTGCATTTGCTTAATTCTTGCTAATTTCTTTACCAGTAATTTATATTTAATGCCATCAAAAGATCAGTGTTTAGCCATTTTGGGCTTTTATTTATTTTGGTCAAGGGGTATATAGCTATAAACTAAAGTTTGTAATGGTGATTTATCACAGTTGGGAAAAATTAGAAATTCAAATAAGAAAAAATACATGCACCATTTACTTCTCTGTTGCCAAAGTTTTCCAACTTGCATGGGAAGCACCGACTAAACAAAAGCATTTTATTTGCAGACATGTTTGTAACAGAAAGGACAGAGTGGGGTAAAGGAGAGACGTGACAAACCAGAGGCCTGGACTCAAATCTAGTGTCGTCTTCCATTTTATTGTCCCTCCTCCTATGAATACAGAGTACATCGGCCATCACACTTGGAGGTCTCGCTAGTTCACATACATAAGAAGCTGGTTCCAACTTTTCTTTCGCAGCACACTGTCGTGCCACCCTGAATTACACATTTTATTCAGAAAACGCAAGCAGTAGTGCCATCATAGTAATAATTACAAATAAAAACACCGCAAAGTTCACAGAAGGAATAAAAATAAACAAATGGTACTGAGGCAAATAGACCACGTGCTTAGTAGCTAGATTTCAAACGTCACCATAATCTAAGTGCAAGATATGTCAACAACCTCAGCTAGAGAAAACTCACTAAAGTCAATAAAACTTCATGTTAAGAGCATGACTTGCTGAAACTTACCATCTTAAGCTCAGGAAAATAAACTTATGGCAGATGATGAGTTTTTAAACAGGTTCTCTCTCTCTCACACACACACACACACACACAATTCACCCACGTTTACAGTTCAGAAAGTGGTCCTAAGGTTTCTAAGAGATGAACTTACAAGGACCAGCCTGGATCTCCATTGAGCCCTGCCTGGGTGCTTCAACAAGATGAGGAAATAATCTCTCTGAGGAACAAAGACAACTATGCATACTAATATCACAGGTCCTGCAGAGGACGACAGAAAACACCAAAGCAAGATCAAGACGATGCATTTGCTTCTTGCTACCGGTCAAGAAAAAAAATCCAATTGACAGGATAGCTTGACCTTAGAGCTTGCTTTCAAAACATTTAAAATAGTCAATATACATTATTCATGTATATATGTTAATAGTAAAATCATCACTACGAGTCTCGTATTCTCACTTGGTGGAGAAAAACAATAACAAAAATGAAACGTTCTGCTTTTGGTAGAGCCATTGATAGTGTATTCGATTACACGCAGACACCGCAGTGTCCCGACTGAAGCGCAAGCGGTCACAACACACCTCGATTCTATCTTGAAAATGCATACATTCAAGCAGCAATAAAAAAATATTTATGGCGAATGCATAATCTCTGGAAAAAAAGGGGGGGGGGAAATACTGTATGAACATCCCTGCTATCATGTCTCTAAATACAAAACCTCTACCCATAATTTGCTTCAGTGTAACAAGAAGTCCTTTTTGTGTTTTTCCGCAGGTAAAAGTCAGTTCTCAGTGTATGTATGGATGACAGTCTCATGTATTTCTCTTTTCTGGTTTCTATGGTCGAACGATCCGTAAGCATGCAAGCGTCGAAGAGGAGGGGCGGGGGCCTGGAGGAAGGTTCGGTGGCAGAGCGGAGGTTTAAGCCAGGGCTGGAAAAGCCTCGGGATCATCCACATTGGGAACGGAAATGCCTCCACCCTGTCGAATTCAAAAGAAGCATACTTCAAGCCAACATTTGAGACAATCATTTATTAATCAATCAAAGTACATATATATTATTGCCTTTTCCTGCACAACTAGAAAATGACAAATCTGGAAAATATAAAACATTGGATTTCTACACATACATTCCACAAGCAATTAGCATCTTATGCCATGAGCGTGTCAGATAAAACTTTCAAAAGTCTGTGATTAAAGACCAAACTTCTTTCTTTTTTTTGACTATGGATGTCAATGGGGACCAGAAACTGTTTGGTTTCCCACATGCTTCAAAATATCTTAATATTCAACAGAACTACGGATGCACGATATTATCGGACCGATATCGGAATCGGCCGATAATGGCTTTAAATGTAAACATCGGCTCGATATGAAAAAATATGCCGATATGTCTTGCCGATAAGAGGAATGCGTTAACTCACATGTGCTCAGGGTGTGCTAGCGATTAGATCACGTCAGCAGTGTGGTTCATTCTTGAAGCAAAGTTTTGCCTGAATGGTGATTAGATTCACTGTTTTGGATCGCTGCATTTAAACTGAGAATGCATGTACAGAATGACGCGTTCGGTGTGTGATAGAGTCAACAGTAATAGCACGTGCAGCGGCAGCCTCCCCCCGGGTCCTAATGCCCGCTCAGTAAGGAGTTTTAATTCCGTAGGGGGCGCTGTTGGCCTACTTCTAATGAAATGAAAGTAAAATACACAAATAACATTTAGACCGTTTCTGATTAAATAAAGCAGTAATTGATGTCATAAAATCATGAATATGTTTTGATTTAAAGGTCAGAAGCTATAGCTTACATGAATAATTTTTTTATGAGCTCTAAAAGATTTTCAGAATTTTTACAACTTTTTTGCTTTAGACCATCTACAAACGTTAAATCTTAAAATAAAATGTTAAGGTTACTACTGCATCTTTCTGAAAAAGAAAAAAAATGCAGCAATTGATATATAGTTTATTTATAGTTATTTTCAAAGCTTCAATGTACTGTCATTATAAAAGAACTTCATTATTGTTTAATTCTAACAAATAGCCTAAGTTCTGGTTAAAAACTAACAAATTAAAAATAATTTACTTTTAATTTCCACACAGGAGAGACTTGTTGTTTACAAACAAAAGGAAATATATCGGTATCGGCATCGGCCAAAAAGAGTTGAAAAATATCGGCAAAAATCAAACAACATGCATCCCTAAACAGAACAGAAGAAATTCATACAGGCTTGGAATAACTTCAGGGTGAGTAAATGATGACAGAAGTTTCATTTTTGGGTGAACTACCCCTTTAAGTCTGGGTCAAGAGCAGCAAATGATTTTCTTTCTTTGTTTTTGATTTACATTAAGGACAGAGAGAAACTGGTGTATTAGGCTACTGTCACTTCATGATTGATGGTTTACAATTTAGCACCATGCCATCTATAATGGCTATATTCATGGCAAGAAACAAGTGGAAAAATAGAAAGCGTAAATAAATAACTAAACTACATAAATCAACAACTTAAAAAAATTTTTTTTTTTTAAATAGTTTATTGGCCTGTAAGAAAAGTTTTCAGGCTAAATTTATTATTTACAGGTCTAGCAAAGAATCTTTTGTGATCATCTAATATAAATCATTAAGTTTAGAAGCGCAAATAACTATGGAAGCACGTTTCTACCACTGTATATTAAAAAAACAAAACTGCCACTTTTTTCTCACAATTGTGAGTTTACATCTTGCAATTCTGACGTTTTTTCCTCAGAATTAAGATAAACTTAGTTGCAAGTCAAAGCCAGAATTGTGATATAAACTTTATCCCTCAATTCTGTCTGTATAATCTCAATCCTGAGAAAGGAAATCAGAATTGTGAGATATAAACTGCAATTTAGAGAAAAAAGTTAGAATTGTGAGATAAAAAGTTTTTTTTTTTATATCAGTGGCAGAAACAGTCTTCCATAAAAAACATATGAAAGTCAACATTAAAACATTACTTTCTATGACAATATAGCATTTTTGTACTGTTTTACAGCCAACTAACAGATCCAATCCTGTAATACTCAACGGAAAGGACTGAACTTCACAACAATAAAGAGTTTAGTTCTTTGCTGGGGTATAAGCGAATAGTGTCCATTTAAAAAACTAAATGTGTTCTGTAAGTAAAACAGTAGTGACATGGGTTTCAGGGGCAGACTACAGGTTTATTTGATGTAAGCGGTATCTGCCACAAATTTTCATACATACACAAACATCAGGAGAACATATCAGTATGTCATGTACCTTCTCAGATCTGCCTCCGCCTCGGCTTGGCCGTCCCCCCCCGCCGCCGCCGCCACCGCCTCCACCTCCACCTCCGCCTCCGCCTCCGCCTCCGCCTCCGCCACGACCTCCTCGGCCTCCACGAGATCCTCCACGGCCACGGCCTGGTCGACCCAAGTCTCCGAAGTTTATCTCCAGCTGGGAGGTGATATCATTGGCGGGCTTACGGAAGTGGTGATCTCCACCCTCATCAGCCTTTAAGAAGAAATATTACAGGATCAGCATCAGCAACTAAAACACATTCCCAATTCCACATAATGCTTGCTTTCTTGATGCGCTGTGAGGATTTCAGCTAGAAAACTAGGAGATGTCCTCGATGCGGATAACATGGACAAAATCACACAATCAAATCATAAGACTGGAATCTACAGAATTTTTCCACAGTATTTGGAGGAGTAAATCATAGGTGGGCTGTACAATGAATCAAAATCGCAATACTGACTTGAAACTCAAAGGTCTTCATGGCAACCCATCAAAATAAAAGTTCAGTTTAACTGGAAGAAATTGTGACAGAAAAACAGTGTAAAGCAGAATGTACTTCTCAAAATAACACTTTCTTCCATGTTTTAATTTTAAAGGTAAACTTTGTCTGCCAAAAAATTGTGAGAATTGTTCAATTTTAATTGGATTTCATTTTAAAAGATTAATTAAATTGTTAATGTTTTTTTTCCCTATATTTGATTACCATTGATAATAAGTTTGTATTAAATCATAAATACAGAATAATTAAAACAGACAACACCAAATGTCTGGGAGGAAAAAATAAAAATAAAAACAAAATTTCTTGGGGCCCTAAAATTGTTTTAAAAATGCAATAAATTATTAAAATGTTAACATCTGAGTAGATATGCTTTTTGATTATTACATTTTAATGCAGAAAAAAAACTTTTTTTGTTAAACTAAAACTTAAGTTTCATGATTTCAATGAGACATGCTTATTGATTACCAAAATGTGATTTAACCATTAAAGGGGTCTTATTATGCTTTTTCACTTTTTTAATTTTAGTCAGTGTGTAGTGTGTATGTTTGGGCATTAAAAAGATCTAGAAAGTTACAAATCTCAAAGTCCACTCCAAAGGGAGATCCCTTTTCAAGAACTGCAACGAACGGCTGGTTTGGACCACAGCGTTTGGTTTCCGGGCTTTGTGATATCACAAAGCGGCTCATTAGAATTTCATTACAAATAATTCCCGCCTACAGAAATGTGAATGGTTGGGGGGTGGGGAGGGGCGAGGTTGTAGTTAGAACGCTTGGTTGAGTGAGCGCATCAGACGAGACGACGAAGAAGAAGAGCTGCTGTGCTGTAGCGTCAGATTTTTGGCATGTCTAGAACAGCAGTTCTCAATTCCAGTCCTCGTGTACCCCTGCTCTGCACATTTTGTATGTTTCTTTTATTGCTTCATACGTTTGTTATATTTGACTGTAAGTGCCCTGCGAAGTGGACATTACCGGATACTCCTCCATGATTCCAGTTTGAAGGGAGCGTATATGTTCCATACAAAGGGCATTTAAGTGTGCGAGATGTGAATTTAAATTGTATTTATTTACAGAGGTATATTATGTCCCACTTCACGCTTCTCTAGTAAGTTTCGTAAGCTTTTGTTGAAAGACAGAGCAAGGGGGCGTGGCAGTACTGAAACACCGTCTAAGCTGTTCGCCAATCACAACGCACTGGGACAGCTAACCAATCACAACACATTTTGTTTTTCGAAAGACGGACCTTCATCAAAGCCGGAACTAATCGAGCCGTTTGTGCCAGCCTGGGGAGAAAGGTATTTTAATCATGTAAATTATGTGAAAAATTACGCGTTTTTCGAACCACCAAGCATGAGAGCATGTTCTAGCACACCCCAAAAACAAAACCAAGACTTTGTAAAAGAGCATAATAGGACCCCTTTAAGACTTATTCCAGAAAAATTTGTGAGGGAAAAAAAAAAAGGAAATCCAGACCAATTTAAAACAGAATTTAGGAAAAAATAAAACCGATTTCGTAAGGCCCTACTATGACTACTAGGGGTTGAACGACTTCTTATTCTTTGAAGTCGACTTTTATGTGATGAAAGTCGAAAAGTCGAGCTAGTCGTTGATGGCGTCATTAATGAACAAATAAGTCTGGAGCTGTGATAAACAGCTCGTGCACAGCTATGGCATATGACACAGCGCTGCCCACATGGCTGTTGCTCCTAACAGCTAATTTTTAACAGCTCTTTTGTCTTCGTTATGTTTCTCACAGATTTCTGCTCGTTCTAAATCAGACACAGATAAAGTAGCACAGTAAACATTATATTCATATGAATGCATTAGTGAGAGCGATTGCGTGTGTGAATTAATTCTACCTGGCAGAGTCTCTCTACTAGTAGTGAAGCTGTGGGATTTAGTTATTAAGAAATATATGCTTGAACTTTTCAGTTTCAAAGCTATTTTATTGAGAAATCACATTTCCGCGCTGAATGATTGTGCGCACGCGATCTGCACGTGATGTACGAGCTACTGTCTGTAATGTGTGTGTGTTACAGTGCAGCAGCGCATTAGATTAGAACAGCGATTAACTTACCTGTACAATAAGCTGTTTAAAACGTGCATTCTCCCGTTCAATTTCGAGCATCGAGTAATATAATCTCACATGTCTTGTGGAGCGCTTTCAGAGTATGCATTTATTTGTCATTTTAACTGTTTGGAAAGAGCGTAAATGTGGAAGTCCTTCAAAGATTTATTATCCTGTTGCGTCCTCTATAGGACCAGCGACTAGTCGACGTCAAGCTTAAAGCGTCATGGCAGAGCATTTTGAAGTTGACTAGTCGGTGCAACCCCTAATGACCACAGAGCTGATCCCTCCACCCAAACTGTAGTATTAATATAGCTTTACTGAGACCACAAAACAATTTGTATATTTTTGATAACAAATGGATAGTATAACAGGGAACAAGTCGATAAGTCAAAAGCGCAGACATGCTGCCATCATTGTTGGGGATCTACATTAAGCAGCCAAATCATTGGAACAACAGAGTGAATGTAAACTTTAGTGGAGGCAGGCGTATGTGGGACAGAAAAGCAAGATTTAAAAAAAATAATAATAATAAATGAACAGTCAACATGTCACTGTGTGGCCATCGATTCTTGAATTCTGGCACGGCTCTAGGTCTAGGTAATTTTAGTTCAGGTTAACTACAGACCAACGGTTTGACCAAAAGGGTGACAGGATTATAAAACCAAATCCAGACACAAACCGTGACTGATACCTTTTGGAATGAGTCAGGATCAACATCTCCAGCTTCAATCACAGATCCAGGATGCCGCTGAAAATGCACAAAAAGGAAATAAGCAACATTAGCCTCGAAACCATTAAAAGAAAAATTTACGAGGCTGGAAAATGAACTAATTTAACTTACTGTGCCAACTTCCTCACTCTTTGACTTGTGCAGTACGTAGCCCTTCTTCCACTGACCGTCGTTACCCTCGTTGGGCTTGCGGATGTTGAACTCAACTTTGGAGCGTTCTTTGTCTTGCATGGCCTTCCACTCATCCAGTGTCATCTCCTTAGGACCTTCATCCTTCACCTCCTCTACTTCATTCTCCCTACACACACACACACACACACACACAAGTCCAATGGCATGCTCTTAGCACATCTAGTCAGAGATACTGGCATTTTCTGTTATTCTGAACAGAATTCTACTTGACTCACTTGTTTTCGGAGTCGGCAGGAGTGTGATCTTCACCTTCAGGAACAGGCTCCGGTGCTGCAGACTGATCAAGCTCACTGTCAAATCAGACAGCATTATTAGATCAGGGGAACCCTTGAAATAAACAGACTATTCCATTGAAGCAATGTTTCGTAAATCTTAAATGTCAAGAAATGATAGTTCTCCCCGACTAAGGATGATTTAGAACCAGCCCACCATGTCATTCAATATCAGGTTTTATTTATGTCCAGAACACAAGCGGTTTGGGATAAGTTACTGTCAAAGTTCAATACTTGGGTTAACCCCCTAATATAAATACTATTATTAACAACGACGCTTACCTTTACAAACATCACTAAATAGAGTTAACAAGAGTCTAATGTTTCAGACAATCTACATTATTTCTGTATGACACATTCAATGTTTCTGCAGGTTTTATGAAGGCAAGTTTAAGACATTTAAAGACAAATTAAAGAAAGTTTAAGGAATTAATTGAAGGGAACTAGGAGTTATTTTTTCTAGCTGACAAACATGCAATAGATATTGAATCTCATGTAACATTTACCGCAGGATAGCAATATTGTATACAAGCTGTTTTTTTTTTATTGTTGAGACTCAATTTGAAAGCGGCAACCTTGTTTCTTATCAAAGCGACAAAGCACAAAACTTTGGATAGAAAACACACTGCAAATGTTTAGTAAAGTTTTGTTAGCGCATCAACAGCATAAACTAAAAGACTTGGAATTTAGGAATTGATATCGGTTCATGGAAATTAAGATTAATTTAAGTGATTTTGTTAGCCTTAATGCTGTCATTTTTGTCATAAACCAAACACTCACTTGTCCACAGGGAACTCGCCCCCCTCTGGCTTCTCATCAGCTGGTTTATCAAAGCGCCGTTCACGAGGAGGTCGTCTGTCGGGCCGCCTGTCGCCGGGCCGAGCCTCTCCTTGACCTCCCTGGTGTTGGGAACTGGCCTGACCTTGCTGCTCCGGCCTCCGGCCAACCCTCCTCATACCTAAAACAGATGTTCAGACACTCATTAAAACAGGAGTCCAACACTGAGAACCTGTGAATTCAAACATGTTTTCATAATTAAATGAGTTGATTTAATCACATTTCACTCAGAGCAAAATTAGAGCATTAATATCTGACTGCTGCACGTGTCACTCCAAGGGCAATTTCACCAATCTGACAAATTTAACAAATAAATACTCTTATCCGAATCAGTGCACTTTGCTGAAATATAGCTGCAAGCAGCGATGACGGGCCCAAGCCCCAGGTGCCACTGCCACCCCGGTGGCATCAGGAAAACAGCGCACAGCAGGCTCATACATTTAACCCTCTGGCAGTCTGGTTGTTGAGTCACAGCAATGAAAGAGTTACTCTAGAATATCAAGAGTGTGAAACAGATACACACAGAAAGGAAAGGATATATTAAAACAATAAGCCCCAAGAAGCCATGGTTTACAGTCAATTTATAAGAGCTAAGGGCCATTAGGCACGACACAGAGCGGAGTGCCTAAAACCCCCTTAGATGTTATAAATTCACTGTAAACCACGTTTTCATTACATTTACATTACATTTAGTCAATTAACAAAAAGTCACTCCAAGGGCAATTCCACCAATCCGACACATTTAGCAAATAAATACTCTTATCCGAATCAGTGCACTTATTACAGGTCAGAAAACATACGCAATAAAATACACATATAACAGTCTCACAAAAGCCCCCTACAAGAACTCAACACTTCCAATTTAAGCATATGTAACCATGGACCACAAAATCAGTCTTAAGTCACATGGGTATATTTGTAGTAGAGATGCACCGATTGCAATTTTTTTGTCCGATTCCGATTTCTTGTTAGTGTGATCTGCCGATATCGATTTTTGCCGATTCCGATTTTCTTTCCAAGAACTATAATTGACAGCATATACAAACAAAAATCTACTTTTCTTTAACGCAAAGTTTCATTTTCATAAAAAAACACAAGTAAAAAGTCAGTAATAAAATAAGAACAAATAAAAAAAATTGCAAACAGCACAAATAAATGCAATAGAATAAAGAGAGCTATGAAATTTTAACCTGAAAAAAGTTTTTCAGGTTAAAATTAGGTTTTTATTCAGTTAAGAAATACTACAGAAATTAAAGTAATCAAATGTAAAATAACACATCCAGTGTTATCTTACAGTTGATTACTTTAATTTCTGTAGTCTTCATTGTAAAAATGAAATGTAGATTAATGCTTACCATTAAAGTTATAAAACGTATTCAGTCAAGAGCAGAAAATTATTTTCTTTGTCTTTTGTTCTCTGATTAATGTGACAGACAGCAGCAGGTATATTGGACTGCGGTCCCTTTAAGAGTTTATCCACGGACCCAATATACTGTTACACAACATGCGTTATCTTTCTCAACTATTTAATGTTCCAAAACTGACTGTTTAACTGGATACTCGCCAAAACGAGCATTTTGACAATTTTTTATGTATTTGAATGTTTTAGCGCAGTTAGCCACTCATTTTGGTATTTGTGGCTCACAAGCTGTTTGAGACTGAGCGCGGATTGTGCGCTCCACTAATATAGATCAGTGGTGGTGCGCGCGCGTTTGGTATAAGCGCGAAACCTGCGGGAATGACTAAAATAATGCACAATACAAGCACTATTTAACCGGAGCGAATGAGACGTGTGTGAGAGAGAGAAGGGGTCGTCGGAGAGAAGAGAGCGAGAATGCGCGGCTGACGTTATTGCCTGTGCCGCTGGTAACAAAACAGATCGGCTCGAAATCGGTAAGAAGTGAGACTGACCGACTGATCACCAATCCGGGCCGATCATGAGGAAAATCGGCCGATTCCGATCCCTGGCCGATCAATCGGTGCATCTCTAATTTGTAGCAATAGCCAACAATACATTGCGTATGGGTCAATATTATTGATTTTTCTTTTATGCCAAAAATCATTAGGATATTAAGTAAAGATCACATTCCATGAAAATATTTTGTAAATTTCCTACTGTAAATATCTAAACTTAATTTTTTATTAGTAATATGCACTGCTAAGAACTTCATTTAGAAAACTTTAAAGGGGTCATATGATGCGATTTCAAGTTTTCCTTTCTCTTTGGAGTGTAACAAGCTGATTGTGCATAGATAAGATCCCTGAAGTTGCAAAGACTAAAGTCTCAAAACCAAAGAGATATTCTTTATCAAAGTTAAGACTCTGCCACGCCCCCCTAAAACGGCTCGTTCTAACACGCCCCCACATATCTACCTCACTATGTGGAAATATTAGCATAATGCGCCCAAATGTGCACGCAAAGAAAGAAGGCGTGGTTTCAGTAACCGCAGTTAGTGTTGATGCAGCATGTCAGGGAGACGCTGTGTGTTTCTAGACGAAAGCAAAAGCACTTTATTTGGCCTTCCGGAAGTAGATGCATTTAGGAACCTTTAAGATCACTTACAACAGAACAGCAATGCATTTTATGGACGACCGTTTCGTGAACCTAGGAGAGGAGGTCATTCTGACTTTGCTATGACAATCTGGCGCTTCTGAATCAGCTACTGTTTTGATATTAGTTTAAGTATTTGCTATTGACTGTTCAAATGTGGAGTTTTGCGCATCGTGTGTGTGTGTGTGTGTGCGAGCGAGCGAGAGAGAGTGAGGGGGTCACATCACAAGCACATACCAGCTTCATCACTGTGTCTGTCACGCGACTCTGTTCCCCTTTCAGGCTTTTTCTTATTTAGTTTTTATTTATTTATTTATTTTAAGTATTTGTTTTCATTCAGTTTAAATGTTATTGCCCTTATATGTTCTTTGTTCTAAAAATGGCAAAAAAAAAAGAGCTATGAATCTAATGGGACATCCTGAAAAATCACTGTAAAATTACTATAAGTTAAAAAGAACAAGTCATCTTATAATTTACAGTGAAAAAACATTAATTAAACATTAAACACCCACAATTCCCGTTGTTGCACGTCACCTTTGATGGTTAATTGAATTAACTGCTTCTTTTTATTATTATTTTTCTTATCGGTTCTGAACATAGGGTTTATGTTACATCTTTTGTTGTTATATGAATGTTTATTACATTATTTTATCATGTCGTTACCATGATGGTGTTTATTATTTGTGTGAATGACAAAGTGCACCTTCTATATATATTAATATTTATTTCAGCATGTGCAATAGTTACTTGTGATGCATGAGCTTTGATACATTGTGACGTTTTTTCATTATCACCTGTGTTTTTGGTGGTTGTTAGTATATTATAAAAGTAGACTACAAAACAGATAATATAGCTGCAAGCAGCGATGACGGGCCCAAGCCCCAGGTGCCACTGCCACCCCGGTGGCATCAGGAAAACAGCGCACAGCAGGCTCATACATTTAACCCTCTGGCAGTCTGGTTGTTGAGTCACAGCAATGAAAGAGTTACTCTAGAATATCAAGAGTGTGAAACAGATACACACAGAAAGGAAAGGATATATTAAAACAATAAGCCCCAAGAAGCCATGGTTTACAGTCAATTTATAAGAGCTAAGGGCCGTTAGGCACGACACAGAGTGGCCGACACGACAAAATCCCCTTAGATGTTATAAATTCACTGTAAACTATGGTTTCATTACATTTACATTACATTTAGTCATTTAGCAGATGCTTTCATCCAAAGCGACTTACAAATGAGGACAGTGGAAGCAATCAAAACCAACAAAAGAGCAATGATACGCAAGTGCTTTGACAAGTCTCAGTGTTAGAACGAGCCGTTTTAGGTAGGTGTGGCTGACTCTGAACTTTTATAAAGAATATCTCTTTGGATTTGAGACTTTAGTCTTTGCAACTTTACAGATCTTCTTTATGCACCAAGAGCTTGTAACACTCCAAAGAGAAAGGAAACATTTAAATTGCATCATACGACCCCTTTAAGTACATTATGCATAAAACATAGATAGATAGAAACACGCACAAATACAGTGTACACATACACACACATTAGCTGCAGATGATTGTTTAAGCTCATATCTGAGATACGTTGTGTTTTCCACCAAATGGCAACCTGGAGTGTTGAAATACTATTGGGTAAATCTGCAGTGGGCGGAGTCACACAGACCAAAAAAAAACAACAACAGACATTCCGACACAGAACGCATATTCCAAAGTAGAATAACTGGCTGTAGAATCGTTTTGGGGAGCAAGTATGTAAACTTAAATATCTGCAAATATGGTATTTTTATGCTTTAGTACAGTCAAAAAAATACGAGACATGATCATAGCATGTGGAAAGTTATTTATCCTGCTTTATTTAACACTGATAATGCATCACATTTTGTACCTGAGTTTGCAGGCTGAAGATTTCGCTCCAGGATGTTTTCTGTCAGACACTTCACGTCACTGTGTGTGTCTGGATGGGAGCTCAGGACCCTCAGTATGTCTGTTCCTCCTTCACTCTGAAGCATATTACAGTACTGAGGGGCTACAACAACAGAACGTGACTATAATCACACTGTCAACTAAATTACACCATTATCTTTGCTTACTTTTTTACTTACAGCTGTGAAAAACAACAGCAAATATAACAGGACATTGCTGTGTATCTCAAGAGGCGTGCTGTTTATTAGTCTCTCTGGCTTTTTTCTTACCGTTCTGACAGCAGACAAACTGTATGGCCCAGAGAGCCCAGAGCTGAACACCAGAACACTGAGAGACGTGCAGCAAAGGATAGAAGGGCTGGAACGTCCTGAGAGACGAGAGTGAGCGAGTGAGTGAGTGAGTGAGAGAGAGAGAGAGAGAGAGAGAGAGTGAGAGAGAGAGAGTGAATGAGAGAGAGAGAGAGAGAGAAAACGAGATGAATAGTTCCATTCCAAATTTAGAATGTTTAGAATTTTGAAGACTGTTCCAATACTGTTTTTTTTATTCAAATACAATAAACAGGGTTGTATATGCATGGAAAGACTGTACGTGACCAGTACAGTCTTTAGCCTTCAGATTTTCTTCCTTCTACATTATGGACATAAACCTTCTTGTTTATAAGAAATACTA